GTTCAAGGCATAATTGCAGAGGAGATCAAGCGTGTATAAAGTGTACACGTCAGCATCACTAATCCACACCATTTGGTTTGTAAATGTTGTGATTTATTTATTTACGGGTTCGTAATGTAAAGGTGATGCGGACAACCATCTTCTCCTGACTCTAAAGTCTCTTGTTAAGTCAACCTATTTGACTATAGCCTACTCATAAAGAGCTGATCTATTACTTTTTTTATTTTTTGAATGCAAGACCATGTCCTGTGAATTCTGCCCCAGACTGAACGTTATCATGTACAGTGACGCAAGATGCCTTCCCCAGCTGCCAATTGAACCACAAACCAAAGTTTAACCAAAAGGGCACTTCAACAAATCACAAAATAAAGCATGAGGTCCCATTTTGACATAATTTACATATTGTTAATGATCAATAAGTGTCACGACTTTAAAGCTGTAAATATCAATTCACATGATGCTTGTCCCTAATTTAATTAAGAAAGTGTTGTCTTAAAAGGGGTCATATGATGCGATTTTAAATGTTCCTTTCTCTTTGGAGTGTTACAAGCTGTTCGTGCATAGATAAAATCCCTAAAGTTGCAAAGACTAAAGTCTCAAACAAACAGAAGTTAAGACTGGTCCACGCCCTCCTAAAACGCCTCGTTTAAACATGCCCCCACATGTCTACGTCACTGTGTGGGAAGGTTTGCATAACACCGCCCAAATGTTCACGCAAATAAAGAAGGCATAACTTTTACTTCTCGCTGTAGTATTGTTGCTGCCGCCATGTCGTGGAGACGCTGTGTGTTTCGTTGTGAAAGCGAAACTACTTTGTTTGGTCTTCCAAAAGAGACTTGGGAGAGTAGCCTACAATGGGTCTGTGCTCAAAGGCTATTTCTATAAAGTGGGGCAGTTCCAACTTTGCAAGGACAGTCTAACAGTTTTATATTTAAAGAATTTGCCACTGATGATTCAAATGCGAGTTTTGAGCTGCGTAGAGTAGCGCTTGTTGTTTTTCGTTTCTCCGATCACAAATGCAGACATGGTTTTATGTTTACACGGCGCGATACGCAAATAATGTTCTTTTTAGCAACGTCATATGACCCCTTTAAAGCCTGTCCACACCATAGACGAATATTTGGTGTGAAATTTTAGTGCAAGAAACATTTTAATTTGAATGATGGCTGTTAATGCATCTGTTCAGACTGACACAAATATCCGATGAATATCCAATTCAAATAATATTTTAACTTTTTTTTTTAAGAGAGTGTAACAGTCGGGTTGGAAGTAATTTTCTCCATAAGAAAATAGATTTTTAATAGTGCTCTCAAACGATTAATCGCGATTAATCGCATCCAAAATAAACGTTTTTGTTTACATAATAAATGTGTGTGTACCGTGTATATTTATTATGTATATATAAATACACACACATGCATGATATAAATACACACACATGTATATATTTAAGAAAAATGTTATGTTTATAGATAAATATATTTATATATAATATGAAAATAAATGTATACATGTAAATATTTTCGAAATATGTGTATTTATATATACATAATAAATATACACAGTACACACACATACTGTATATTATGTAAACAAAAACGTTTATTTTGGATGCAACTAATCACGTTTAATCGTTTGACAGCACTAATTTTGAATGATAACTTATAAACCGTTAAAAACACATACCTGTGAGTTCCAGGGTTGGTAAGTGATGGTGTATGCTCTTTAATGAAGCCATCAGTTTGCATTATTTAAACCTATTTTGAAATAATCACATTAATAACAGCTGAATGTATGGTGAGAAACTACATTACCCATGATGATGTATAGAAAATTCAACCAAAGTCACAGTGAGCAAATTGCGCCAAAAGAGCTTGGCAGGGACCGCCCAAATGGTTTGTGTATATATGTTGTATATACAACTGTTGATTGTAGCTCTTTCCCTCACTTAAGCCGTTAAATAAACTGTAAAATAGTTGGTGATGCCTATCTTCACTGTTGGAAAACTGATTTTGGTTTTAGTGCAGAAAAACCATAGCAGGGTTGCTACAAAATATTTATGCACCATTGAATCTGAATTGCATGTTGGCTGCTGCAGATGCTCCATCAGGTGCACACTGAAGATATTAAGTAAAGGTGGCCAGGCATGGTAATGACGACTTGGGCTAGAAGAGGCAGTCTTTTGAGGCCTGTTACTCTGTGTGTGAGGGGTTTGGATCAGGTAAGTCTGTTCTGTCAGTCTTATCTTATCTGCAGTGAGTGCTTCTTGAGTCTTGAAGACACTTTGAGGCTAACAGGCTGGAGAAACTGAGAATTGAAGAAAATGTGTTCGTTCTGACAGAGGCATGCTCTCCATTATTCAGAATCACTTTAGTGACCTTTAACAGTACCTGTTTTCATCCTGCTTTTTAAGCGAAGTACAAAACCCTGTTAGCTGTGCTGACAAGACAAGTTTCCACTGACTGGATTCTCACTGAGCTTGTGAAGTGCCTCGAGGTGCCTGTCATTGCAGCTCCCACAGGTTGTATTGGTGTGTGTGTGACCAATGCCAGAATCTCTTGTTGTTGTAGAATCTCACCCAGTTAATCAGGCCACGTTATCAGGAAAGAAACGAAAACTGACTCAAAGATGTTTGCCTGGCAAGGTTCTTGGTCACCTCGGCTAGCCTCTCGATGTAGAGATGTGTATCTCTGTGGGATGAGATGTAAATTCGAACAGCTGGGGAAGGTTGATTATAGTCCGTGAGGGAGGCAAGCAACATCATTTCCATGCAGACTAGTGGTTGTACTCACCGTTTAGGACATCATCAGGGGTTCTCTGAGAACATCTTCAGCAGCTCCACAGCAATTACTGCTTCTGACTTGAATGAGGAAGTACTGAATGATCAGACTGATTTGTATTAGTTGGAATCACTTTGGCACATTTTGATCATGCTTGTAAAATAATATTGTGAAATAGGCTATTACAATTTTTAGAAATGTTTTCCATTGTAATATATTTTAAAGTGTATCTTATTCCTGTGATCAAATCTAAAATTCCAGCATCGTTACTCCAGTCTTCAGTGTCTAACATCTTTCAGAAATTATGCTAATATGCTGATTTGGTGTAGCATATTAAAACATTTATTATTACGCTCTCAGAAACAAGATACTGCGCCATCACTGGGGCGCAGTACCTTTTCACTTTTTTACACTTAAGGTACTAATATGTACCTTTTAAGGTATCAGTATGCACCCTGTACAAAGGTGTATCTTTAGAAAAGGTACCGTCCCAGGCTTTTGTATACCTTTTTTTCTGAGAGCGTATCAGTGTTATGACATTTTAACACATTTATGTGTAACGGGTATATTATTTTGAAAAGAGATTATCTTTGGGATACTTTTATAGAACCTGCAGCTGGCACAAGTTTGCTGAAAGGATTCTTAGTGGCTCACGTTCTTGCTAAAACAGACTGTGGAAAGGTCCCTGTGCGTATGCTGAACTTGAGTGGAAAGACCGTTAGAATTGCACCCCGATCTAGAGTGGCTTCTGTTTTTAAGCCAAAAGAGGTGGTCACAAAGGATGTTCTTGAATTGGAGGAAGATGACGGTGTACTTCATGTCAAAGAATTAAAGGAAGACAAAGTTCAGGCTGATAAGAACTTACTCATGCAGCCACTACAGCGTGAAGTGTACGAGGGACAACATGAACACAGAGGTCATTTTGGAGAGAGAAATACATTAATTCGAATGAGACGAAGTTATTACTGGCCTACCATGTCTGCAGATGTTCCATGCTGGATAAAGCAGTGCAAGAGATGTACACTGGCCAAAGATGTTTTCCCCAGGCTTCGAGCCCCTATGACATGCAGTAATGTTTCAGCTCCATTAGAAGTCCTTGCCATGGATTACACGCAACTTGAACAGTCTTCTGGATTTATGACCGCAAGTCATCTGGAGCTCTTGTGAGGCCTGGAGATCATGTGGGAATGTAACGGGTATATTATTTTGAAAAGAGTTTATCTTTGGGATACTTTTATTTTGGCAAGTGGTCCGCTTTTTGCGCGTGCTGCAAGTGCAGCAGGGAGAGACGAAGAAGAGCGCGGTGTATGAGTGTGTCACACACAGAAGTGAGTGCAGTGTTGTGATCGAGAAGCTCGTTCGATAAAGTTGCTTCAACGGAAGATTATCGAGGCTTAAGTCGAATAAAGGACAACAGCACTAAGTGAAAGTGTGGAGAGTGAACCACAGTTCATAGCAGAAAGGAGTTTTTTTCAGTTTTGTTCTAGTGGTATGTTTTGGCTGTTAAAATGACGCAGTAACATATCGAAGGCCACGGAAGCTGTGAGTACGCTTAAAGTGAAAACCCTGCTTGATTTTTGTCATCAAGTGACTTGTTGCATGTACTTTTGCTGCATTTTGCACCTCTGGTGTTTTGATTGAAAAGCAGCGCCAAGAGCTAACATTTCAACGGGACCATTCACGTGCAATTAAGTTTCCCGCACGTGTCAGAGCACGTGAGACCGAGATCGCTGTATAATGCAGTTAATGCAGAGACTTAACTTTTCCGCCGATTCAAGTTTGAAGATTGTGTTGCTACCCTGCCATCCAAGTGACATCTCAGGTTGATTCATCTCAGTTTGATGCTTTTTGAGACAGTTTATCTGTGGGATGGGATATTTTCTGAGTGAATTTTTGAACTTACACACTTAAAACTACTTGATCTTCAGTTTATTTCAACGCTCAACGCACCCAGTCAACGCCCTCTAATTCATCGTTCTATGGTATTCCTCTAATTTTTTCCGTTTTTTTAGTGACTGGACTGAAAAACAGGGAACTGTGGTAATTCAAGTGGACTATGGAACTTGAGTAACTGTGAGTAACTCGTGAACTGTGAGTAAACATTTGAAGGGACGTTTCATATAAGTGCTCATTCTGAGGTGAGATTTAATTGTGTATGCTTTGTTTTTTTTTGTTTTCAAATGTGATTGTTTGAAGATGATCATTTGAAAAGGTGAGAATTTGTGGGTTTACCAATTGACAAATTGCAAGTGATCTCATTTCGAAGTTTCATAAGGGATTTGTTATACCACAAGTGAAAAGTTGTCAACTGTTGTGTTGAAGGTGATTGTGTGGATTTGAAAAGACAGCACAAAGACTAAATTCGTTTTATGATTTTCATTTAATCGATTACTCAAACAAGAAATAATTATTCATAAGAAAAATAAATCTAAAATAATAAATTCTGTTTAATTCCTTTTTGCACTTATCTACAGTGTACCTTTCTGTTGAGAGCTGTCAGGGAGTGGGGGAGTCTCACTTACTTTATTAGATCTGGGAAGGGAGGAGCATATCACACTGTACTCTCATGTATGCAATTTCACTTCAGGAAGCCACCGTGTAACGTTACCATACCTGAAGCCTACCCTTGTCAATCAGTAGTGTTCCAACACAATAAGGTAAGAAACCACATACACACGTTAGTGTGTAACGAGACTAAAAAGTTTGGGGAGCGGGGACCAAGATCCTTTCGTTGTCCAAACTTCCAGGGCAGCCGTAATCCATTTCCCCTACACAACGGGCTAAATACCCCCGTTACAAGTATATGCATTAGAGTTTTTTTATAGCGACTCTTTCTACAGGTTATATCGTTACGCCAGTAGGTGGGGACAAGTGACTGTTATTATAAGTGCGTTATTTGAATAACTCACTAAGTCACTGAACTCACTGCACAAAACAAGTGATTGTTTTTATCAGTTAGTCAATGAATCAATCACTCAACTAATTTGTTCAAAAATGCTTATGCAATCAGGAACTATAAACACCACTAGTGTATGAAGCAACAGTGAATCTGCTTTGGTGCAAAAAAGTAACTGGCAGTACATTGTCTAAATTGTAAGTTACTCAGTATTATCATGTGCTGCTATCCTCATCTGTTTTTGTCTGGAAAGTAATGCAGCTAAAATGGAGCAAAACTAATTTATTTAGCAAATGTGAATACCAAATGCGTAAACTAATTCACATTCACAACAAAATGTATATATTTGCAAGTAGCAATTCAAGGACTCAACCTATTTTATATTCACAAAATATGATTTGCAAATGCACAACCAAATATATATATACACAAAATACGATTCACAAATGCAAAGCACAATTCATAAATACACAACTATGTTTGCACATTTCTGAATCTTTCTGTAGAAATTGACTGTTGAATCTGCATTTGCAAATCATCAAATTTATGTAAAGTTATGCTTCTTGAAAACGCATCTACGATCCACATACATAACATTTTGCAAATGCAAGTTCACCAATCAATTTGTGCTTATCAAAACATTCAGAAATGTGCAAACATACTTGTATTTGACTTGTACTTTAATTGAATGTTTTTTTGTGATTGTAAATTTGGTTGTGCATTTGCAAATTGTATTTTGTGAATATGAATTATAGGTAATAAAAATTGTGAGCAGATGTTTGCAAATATATAAACTTTGGCAAATGTGAATTAATTTTGAATTAATTTTGAGACTATGGAACACTTGGAGGGAAGGGAAACAAACTAACGTGTAAATGCATCCTCATTATACACAGTCTAATTATTTTCTTGGTAGTGGAAAGTGTGGACACGCTCCATCTTTATGTGCCAGACTGAAAGAAATTGTGGAGAAAATGAGGGCTCGTTTTCTGTTGCTGAAGCTGTAAAAATGTGTTTTAGTGCTGTCCGAGGATGCACTGAGGCCTTCATGATCTCATACAGAATTTATGTCCACAGAGGCTGAGCTTCAGAATACCTGAAATTTAGGATGAAAAGGAGCCTGTCCTGGACTCTACGAAAATAGTCTCACAGTTATGAGTCCCTTGAGTAAGGCATAGGCCACAATCTCCTGCGCCTTACAACAAACTCTCTAATATCTCCTTTAAGGAATAGTTCACTCAGAAATGAAACTTTGCTGAAAATGTACTCACCCTCAGGCCATGAAAGATGTAGATGAGTTTGCTTCTTCATCAGAGCAGATTTGGAGAAATTTAGCATTACGTCACTTGCTCACCAGTGGATCCTCTGCAGTTAATGGGTGCCGTCAGAATGAGAGTCCAAACAGCTGATAAAAACAACTAAATAATCCAAAAGTATTCCACATGATTCCAGTCAATCAATTAACATATTGTGAAGTGAAAAGCTGTGTGGTTCTAATAACAAATTCTTCGTCAAGACATTAACTGAGGGGCTGGTGGATTACTTGTGGATTATTGTGATGTCTTTATCAGCTCTTTGGACTCTCATTCTGATGGCACCCATTTACCCATTTACTGCAAAGGATACAATGAAGGACAAGTGATGTAATGCTACAAGTTTTAAAAGTGAATTTTCAGCAAATGTTAATTTTTGGGTGAACTATTCCATTTCCCCTACACAACGGGCTAAATACCCCCGTTACATATGTATGGATTGCAAAATACGAAGAATGCAAGCTGTAATTCATAGGAAATGTATTTGGTGTCAGGCAGCTGAGAAATATTATAATGTAATAAAGAGCATGCAAAGACAATGTCTTAAATTAATAAATCAGTTTATGTACTCTGTTATGTCATTTATGTCCTGCTAAGTAGTTGATAATTAACCTAAAGTACATTTTTTACTGCTTTATTTAATCATTAATACTTTATGGTCCTCATGTGTTACTTCTAAGTGCATTTTTATGTAACTTGAACAAATCATGCAGCAGATAACTCAAATAACTTAGAATTTCATAGTTGGCAAAGCAGCAAGACTGTGCCAGATGCTTCTTACATTTTTGTTCCTACAGTCATAATGAGTGATAATATTTGCCATCTGTTTTCTCTGATGAAGAAGTTGGATTTTATAAATTAATTGAGAGAGTCAAGGTCTTAGTAAATCGTGTATAGTGGTTGTATAATAAAGTCTGCTGGTACTGACATTGATAGAGTAATTTCTTGATTTTTTTCCCCTTTATATAAATATTGTTGTGCCTAATATACTGTACAACCACAACAACAAATTTTAAGAGTATCAGAAAAGTCCATATGACTACCTCACGCCAATATGGCGCATGAGTTTAATGAACTACCTCTATGATATTGTTATGGCTTAAATCACACATTCCTTGTGTGTGAAACAGAAGTGGTGAAACAGAAGCCTGATAAGTAATTTTGTGTTTCAAGAAAGATAAGAAGGGTTGGAATGACATGAGAATGGGTAATTGATGACACAAAAATATTTTTAAGTCAATAATAATCACACTTAAGATCACCAAAAACCAAGATACACCCTTTTCTCTTACTTTATCTATCTAAACCAAATTGCTTTTTAAAACCCAATTAATCAATGTGCTTTTTTGTCCTGTTTCAGTGAGAGTTTCTGGACATTATGCCAACTGAAGAAGTCTGTGACAGTGTTTCAGCAGAGGATGATGCTAAGAAGGGGCCTGATGTTCCTTTCCTTTTAGAAGAGCGTGTAAAAGAGAAAGTGTCCTGGAAGGACGTGTTGAGAAAGAAGGTGGGAAAAAAGTGTTCCTGCAGTTCTGCTCGAATCAAAGCCCTTCTCGTAGACTCCATTCCAATCGTGAAATGGCTGCCAAGATATCAATTCAAAGACTGGATAATTGGGGATGCCATGTCTGGCCTTATCGTGGGCATCCTCTTGGTTCCCCAGTCCATTGCCTATTCTTTACTGGCAGAACAAGACCCTATTTATGGGCTCTATACATCTTTCTTTGCCAGCATCATCTACACCCTACTGGGAACTTCCAGGCACATCTCTGTGGGTATGTTTGGGGTATTGTGTCTTCTGGTGGGACAGGTTGTGGACAGGGAACTTACTCTGGCAGGATATCCATCGGACACCAATCAGACCACATTGGGAAATGTGGACAACAGCACTGGTCCAGTCTGTGACCGAAGCTGCTATGCAGTCATGGTGGCAGCAACACTAACTTTCACAGCAGGGGTCTACCAGGTTAGTCAAGGTTAGTCTTCTTCTATCAGAATTTTTAAAATATCTAAATATATGAATTTCTCTGCTTGTGTTGCAGGTGTTGATGGGTCTCCTACAGGTTGGCTTTGTCTCCGTCTACCTCTCGGACTCTCTGTTGAGCGGTTTCGCAACTGGTGCCTCTCTCACCATCCTCACATCCCAGATAAAGTACTTTCTGGGCCTCCACCTTCCTCGTGTCCAAGGCTGGGGTTCGCTCATAAAAACCTGGATCAGTCTTTTCAAGAATCTGGGTCATACCAACCTCTGTGACCTCGTAACCAGCGTGCTCTGTTTGCTTGTGCTTGTACCCACCAAAGAGCTCAACGATCGCTTCAAGGCCAAGCTCAAGGCCCCTATTCCCTTTGAACTCTTTGTGGTCATCGCTGCTACTCTAGCTTCCCACTTTGGACTGTTCGAGGAAACTTATGGCTCAGATGTAGCCGGCAACATTCCCACAGGCTTCATGCCACCACAACTTCCCAACTGGTCTCTCATACCCAATATTGCCGTTGACGCATTCTCAATCGCCATTGTTGGTTTCGCCATTACTGTGTCTCTGTCTGAGATGTTTGCCAAGAAGCATGGTTATATGGTGGACCCTAACCAGGAGATGTATGCTATTGGTTTCTGTAATATCATTCCTTCCTTCTTCCGCTGTTTCACGACCAGTGCCGCTTTGACCAAGACTCTTGTGAAGGAGTCGACGGGATGCCAGACTCAGCTCTCGGGGTTGGTGACCGCTCTTGTGCTGCTACTCGTCCTGCTTGTTATAGCACCTGCCTTCTACTCATTGCAGAAGTATGTACAAATTATGCCGTTTTCATGTTGAAATTGTCTAGACTTCACCTACACTGCCAATGGCAGTGTAATTGTGTCCTCTTCTTCTCCGCAGATGTGTTCTGGCCGTCATCATAGTCGTCAACCTCCGTGGAGCACTGCGAAAGTTTGGGGACATTCCCCAAATGTGGCGCGTCAACCATGTGGACACTATCATCTGGCTGATTACTATGGCTACATCAGCGCTAGTGAACACTGAGCTAGGTCTACTAGTTGGAGTCCTGGTCTCTGCGTTCTGTGTGCTAGGCCGAACTCAGTCCGCCCAAGTCCGTCAGCTAGGCCAAGCAGGGGACCGCGAGCTCTTTGAGGACCTTGTGTCCTCCTACAAGGGTCTCCAGAACCAGCCAGGGGTGGCTGTTTTCCGATACGAGGCTCCCATCTACTATGCCAACCAAGCTCTCTTTAAGAAGTCACTGTACCGCAGTGTGGGTCTGGATCCGCTTAAAGAGAAGGCCAGGCGCAGGAAACTAGACAAGCAGAGGAATCAGAAACAAGGTGGAGAAGACCAAAAGCAAGAGATGGACGTGTCCACCAATATGTATCTGCTACAGTACAACAGTTTGCACACATTGGTCATAGACTGCAGTCCAGTGCTGTTTCTGGACACTGCTGGGGTCAATGCTTTGAAAGAGGTATGCAAGGACTACAAGGGGCTGGGAGTCGATGTGCTTTTGGTGCAATGCAACCCCTCCGTCATTGATTCTTTGCGGAGGGGAGGGTATTATGACCCAAAGAAAGGGACCAAAGATATACAGTTCCACACTCTTAGTGATGCCGTCTCTTATGCACAAAGCTTGAAGTCACAAAATGGCGATTGTGACACTGTTGTGTAACAATTTGTAATGTATTGATCTGAAGTTGTCTTTGCATTTAATATTTGTCTGTTTTGGCAATTCAGAATTATATGATCGTTTATATAAGCTCATGTCATTCAAAATTTGTATCACTTTTTTATATACAAAAAAAAGATATCTAGAATGTTTATGCACCGAAAGTGTTTTTTTTCTATGCAATTAAAGTTAATGGGGTCCAAAACATTGACTTGCATTAAAAAAAAAAACCTTAATCATTACTAAAAATATAAAGTCATACAGGTTTGGAACCACATGAGGGTGAGTAAATGATGACAGTTTTCATTTTTGAGAAAACTATCCCTATACCTTCTTAAAATGGATAAGTAATCCTCTGTTTATATCTGTTATTGAAAAAAACAATGTGCTGTGTTGTGTTCTGCAGGACCTTTAAATAGAAGTTCAAACTTTGTTAACTGCAAGTCCTTGTGTATCTCATAGCCTTTGTCTAGTCAGGATGACAATCAGGTTTTTTTCTGGTCTTAAAATGATGTATTTCGATATCATTTATACATCTAATAACATGTTTAGCTTATTTTAAATAGCTAAAACTCAGTATTCGAGGGCTTAATTTTTCTACATGAATAGAAATGATTTATGCTAGACAAGCTCCAGTTTGTATATTTACTCTTTATCTCCTTCCACTCTAGCTCATTCAGTCAGAATTATATTTTATATAATCTCATTTGTGACATTTACCCAGCTTTATGGGTACTTGTGCATGTTTAAATGACCATAAAGCTTGGATAATCTGAGCGCTTGTTGTCTGGGTAAGTGCAAGTTGAACTCTTTCACCCAGTCATCAGCTGTTTACCTCAATCGCAGAAGCACCAGAGAGTGTGCCGATGTGCCTTGTCACTGTGACTGTGCAGCCACAGAGCAGCTTTTGAAAATGTGCATCATTTCGAGAGCAAAGAGGGCTCAGGTAGAGCATTTTAATGACATTGTGTCTGAACCTGTTGAACAGGTCTGAACCCAGGCTCAGGGAAATGACATACTCTGTCCTCCTATTGGCTGAAATGGAACAGGGTATGAATACAGATGATATTTCTAAAATGCTGGAGCTTTTGCCAGATATATCACTGATGGAATGCTAGCACAAATGGAAATAGAATTTTAAACATATGCCTTTTAGGGCAAACTAGGAACTATTTATGTAGTTTTTATCTTATGTAGTGTACACAATTAAAAATAAAGGTTCCCAAAGTGATGCCATAGAAGAACCATTTTTTGGTTCCTTAAAGAACTTTCAGAGTTCTTAAAATAACCTTTTTTTTCTTAGTGTGAAGAACATTTTAAAGAATGTTGTGTGCAATGGAAAGGTTCTATGAATGTTAAAGGTTCTTAATGGAATCATTAATGCCTATAAAGAGCCTTTATTTTTTAAGAATATATGGTGATACTTCATTTGCTGAAACATTTCTAATAGTTTTTAGGTCATGCTTTTGGATTGTTTCTGTGTTTTACTTTGCATTAGAATTACTGCCATGGAGGCTTTACTTAATTGTTAAAGATGTATTCTATATTCTTAAAATTTCTCTATGTATACAAATTCAGGTATTCCCATATCTATGCAACTAGATATGACTACAGTATATACCGATTATTTGTAATCACTGATATTGACAGGAAACCTATATCTTTCATGTAATGTGACATTTTGTGTTCTACAAATTGTAATTTGCTTTGTAATTAATACAAAATAAACAATGTTTACAGAAAGCGAAGTTGTCCTTGTCTTGATTAGAAATCAACAAAATTGGATTTTCCTTTGCATCAGGTGCTTCCTTTGACAGTCTGCTGAATGAATATTTAATTCTGTGATTTTAGTGTTTTTTTTTATAATTGAAATAATTTTAATCTAAAATTTAAATGAGTGAGGGGGAACCCAAACTTATTCTGTTTAGTGCATGCTTTGAGAAAAGCTGCTTTAACTCAAATCTACCACCAGTGTGCAGCATTGTTCTGCAGCAGATCATGTGTCTAGTCTTTAAAGGGATAGTTCATCTGAAAATGAAACTTCTGTTACCGTTTACTCACCCTCATGTTGTTCCAAACCAGTATGACTCATTTCTTCTGCAAAACACAAAAGAAGATATTTAGAGGAATGTCTAACCTATATTATTTATGTAAGAAATAAAGTCATAGTGCAGGTTTGGAATGACATGAGAGTGAGTAAATTATAACAAAATGTTATTTTTTAAGTGAACTATTGCTTCAACATTAAAAATGCTGACAAACCCCCTAAATTTATGGCATTTTGCAGATGAAAATGTACTGAAGTTCCAGTGTTTTATGCAGCTGCTGACAGGTCTTTTTTTTTTTATAGGAACCTGTGTGCTTTAAAGTTTGGCTTGAGAACTGTGCATGCCAGCACATCTGCAGTTTATGATACCTTCAGATTCTATGGCCAGTTTGTCTCCTGTCAAAAGTATTTTATTTTTGTCACATGTACGAGGCAGCAAGAGAGAAAGGATGTCTGAAAGACATGGAGCATCTCAATGACTTTAGCAGGTGTTGGGATGGCAGAGGAGACAGCAGCTGTCTGTTCTTTCATCGGGATTCTGACAAGGTCAAGACCTCTGAATACACACAACCTCTGTTAAAATGCAAAAAAGCTTTGCAATGCAAATAAGCATGTTTTCAACGTAAATTGAGCAATTACATATATTTGTTAACACTTTCTATGAAGCATTCATATACAGAATAATGGTCAAATAATATATTGATACTATACTGTTACACAGCTATTTAAGGAATTTCACGTGAGCAAAACTGGTTGTTCCAAAAATCCAAAAATGCACAGGTTATCACAATCATGTTGATATTAAAAGTAATAACAGTTCAACCAAAAAAATAAAAATAAATAAATAATAATACTTACTTTCAGACCATCAAAGTTGTAGATATTTTTTCTTCATTGGAACAGATTTGGAGAAATGTACATTATATCACATGTTCACCAATGGATCCTCTGCAGTGAATGGGTGCCGTCAGAATGAGAGTCCAAACAGCTGATAAAAACACCACAATAATCCACAAGTAATCCACACCACTCCTGTCCATCAGTTTTTTTAAGTGAAAAGCTGTGTTTCGAAGAAACAAATCCATCATTAAGATGTTTTTGCCAATGTTTTTGGAGATGTGAACTCCAGGGCGCCAGCGGGATGAATCCATGAACCCACAGAGATCAACCTCACCTCAGCCAGATCTTCTGGAAATTGCTCTGATGTCTAGTGGTTAAACATAAGATATAATTCATTTTGGTCTCATTAATCTGTTAATTGTTCCAGAGCAAATAGTTTTGGCTGAGTGAGAAGTCTCATAACTTTATATTTGTATATAACTAATGCTGTATCAGAGCGCTGCCTTTGCGACTGAATTGCTTAGCAACTTCTATAATGGCTATTGTGGTATATTAAATATTATTGTTCAATAAAAAAGATTTTATGCAAGTAGGCTAATAGTATTTATTAAAAGTATTTGGTATTGAGAAACTGTATGGTGATTTTCGCTACTTTGTTTTGCCATTAGATGGCGACGAGACTGTTTTTTATGAGTAAGTCAGCAGTAAACACTTTTTGAAAGACACTCAACCAAGTCAGCCAACAAATGCGCTGAGCAGCGTTATCATGGAAAATCTGTTTAAATGATAGTATGACAAAGATATCGCTTTCGTCAGCGGACAGCCAAGCAAATGTATTATTGTGAATATGAGATTGAGCTGAAGAATGAATGCTGTATCAGACACAGGTAATCACACTCACCAAGTCCATCTCTCTCTCATAATACTCTACTCTTCATAATACAGTGAGCTTTTAATAACGTAATACAGTAAGCTTTCAAAGAAGCAACTCAACGTTCTTTTGTTACTAGTTCTAAAGTGACATTTTCAAATGAGTAATGGAGGCTTGGGCTGTTAAACTGTCATTTGAGATTTGATCTGAGATCTGAGATTTGATTCCGTGGCAGAAGGAAGTAGTTCCACACACGGAATGTTTTTTTAAGACACTCCATGGTTGTTTCTTATGTCGTTGAACTGTTGTTTAAACGCAACAGCACACTCGTGGTCCTGTGTGTGATATTGCTAATTTATGGACTTGTATTTCGACCTTACGGTTTAAAGTTAAAATGCTTTAAAGGTCCCCTGAAATGCTTAGAAACATGCAGCGTTACTCTGTGTTGACGTCATTTTAAAGGGGTCATATGATGTTGCTAAAAATAACATTATTTTGTGTATTTGGTGTAATGAAATGTGTTTATGCGGTTTAAGGTTCAAAAAACACATTATTTTCCACATACTGTACATTATTGTTTCTCCTCTATGCCCCGCCTTTCTGAAATGCGTCGATTTTTACAAAGCTCATCGGTCTGAAAAGCAAGGTGTCCTGTGATTGGCCAGCTATCCAGTGCGTTATGATTGGCCGAATACCTCAAGCGTGTGACGGAAATGTTATAAAAAACGTAATTTTTTAAAATAAAAAACGTACTTACAGTCCGTGAATCAGAACAGCCTGCATTGTAGTCTACTCTACCAGGATCAGTAAACAGTCCTCCATAAAATGTGCTGCACACATCTGAATATTTGGATTAAACTGTTCTGGACCAGTGTTGTAAATACAACTTAACCACTGATTTCTAGTCGTGTCCGCTTGTAACACTCCAAAGAGAAAGGAAAAATTTAAATCGCATCATTTTAACTGAAACAGGAGGACAGGGCGGGACATATCAAGCAGCCCCGCCCCTTTTTAAAATAGCCAATAGCGTTCATTTGTATCACAACTTGGGCTAGAGCCGTTCAAAGCTGTTGAGCTCCGTAAAGCCGCATTTGACAGGGTATGCCAGCCATATTGATACTAACACCCAAAAAACTTTAATTTTGATTTCATGTGGACTTTAACGATGGATCTGTTTCTTACAAACATGCAGCCTTTTACTTCACAAGATTGGACTGGAGTCGTGTTTATTACTTGTGGATTATTGTGAACTCAGTGTGAACTTGGCCTGAGGGTGAGTAAATGTTAAATACATTTTCACTTTTGGGTGAAATATTCCTTAAAATGTTGTCCAGAATAATCACATATGAATATGTACTCAGACTCATACAATAAAAGAAATCAACAAAAATGGTGCATACACTGTATTTTTCTCTTGCAAAGTTGGATG